AGGCCTCTCTCATCTTTTTAAGTGGGAGAACTTGCACAATTGGTGGCTGACTAAATACTTTTTTGCCCCACTGTACATGTGAAAAGGTCTTGATTATTGTAGCTGATCACAAGCTGAATATGATTCAACAGAGTGACCTGTCTGCTAAAAAGGCAGATATAATTTAAAGCTACAAGAATTGAAGTATTCAAGTCATGGATATTCCACTAAGTTCTGCTTTGACTATATTCCAGCTTGGTTCTTCTGTTAGGTTCTAGGCACCAACTTTCATATTCAGAGAAATTAGAACTGTTTCAAATAAGGGCAGTGATGATTAGAAACTAGGTCTTATGAAGAGAAACTGAGGAAAGTAGAAAATTATAGTATTTTTCAAGAAACCTGAAGGGTGTCACATAGAAGAAAGTCAAGACGTGTTCTCTATCAACCTGGAATTCAGGACACTGATTAAATTACATTACAGGAAATCAGATTCCAGCTCGTTATTGGGGGGGGGGAGGAATCTAAAAACATTTTGAAAATAGAACCAATGGAGGAGGTAAGTTCCCAATAATGGATGAGTTTAAGCAAATGCTGGAGCAATTTCAATCAGAAATACTTTAATTTAGAATTCTGTGTTGACTTTGATGGCCTAAATGACCCCTTTTAGTTTGGTGATTAAGTGAAAAGAATCCGTAAATTGAAAATATGTTTATATGATTGGCATCAAAATAAGATTTGGCTTCTACTTTGTCTTGCACTCTTTTTTTCCCCCAAATTAGTAAGGTTTCATTATATGCCATCGGTTCACAGCCGCAGTGAAGCGTGAAAGTGCTCCATCTAAGCAGGTGTAGTTGTGAATTTTTTTAAAAGTAGAAAAATAGCAAACACTTTTCAATATTTCTTTCGACAGAATCTCAGTCCAATCATTCCAATCAATCTGACAGCGGAGTTTCAGACACCCAAACAGGACATGTCCGTTCCCAAAGTATTGTTAGCTCCATCTTTTCAGAAGCTTGGAAGCGGGGAACTCAGTTGGAAGAGTCCAGCAAGATTAGCGTAAGTATAATCATTGTTGGAAGGGAATTTTCTGTACAAAATCTGGCCTTGCTTGAAGGTCCTGATTTTTATTCATGTAAGAAGCCAAAGTGTAAAGTGTAAACCAGCAAAGCCTCCTGACTTCTGAAAATGTGTCATGGTGGGAAAAAGTTGCTTGAAGCCCCCCATTGGTTTCCCTGTCACTTGATCCCCTGTGTTTCATGCTGTGTTTTTGTTCTTGTTTTTCCCGTTGCCCTGCAGTCTCATGTGGCAAAAGCAAAACCTGGAACAGCTCTCAGCTCCACTGCAGTGATGGCTTAAGCAGGGGTAGCGTTAAGGTCAGGGGCTTTGTTTGAACTATTAACCTGGGGGAATGATGCAACCCAAATCATGCAGACTAACTTTTCCAGAGTTCTAATCCTTAGATATGTTGATCAGCTCACAAGTGCTTGAACCTGTAGTATTGCAATTTGACCATGTCATGCAGCCCACATTAATCTGTGTAGTTCTGGTTTAGCCTAGGTTCCTGGGACACATTGCCCAGAATGAAAGATCTCAAATAGTGCTACTGCTTGCCAAACCTCAGATCCTTTTTGCAATGGAATTCATGGCTTTATCATATTTAACTTAAAGCATTGCATAATCAGGAGGGCAAGGCATTCTTTAATGTGGATTTGCTTATTTTGGCTCCATACATTAATACAACCATACTGCAAAGTAAATTACCTTAGCACCTTGACCAGAACTCATAATACCTTCTGTTTTGTTACTCTCTTTGACTACTTGTTTTCCCCCACGAAATATTTGTGCATGCCTTTCCTATGCTGTGATATGGAGGTTTTGATAGTTTTCACTCTGCGCTCACTGTATTGATCATAATTGCTTGTTCACATGCTTTTTCAGTGATACCTTTCAGCTCTTACACATATTTTTCTTCTAGAATTGTGAAGGAATTACACTTTGAAATGTCCCAAAGGGAGATTTTTTCCAATACCCACGCTCCTTAATGGAATTGTGATCCCACACGAGATGCTGTGTAGTTTTTTCTGCCTATTACCCTTATTTGTTAGTTAAATGACACCTTTTCTTCAATATTTCATAGTTCAACTTAGTTATGTGTATTGAGCACACAGGATCATAATTGTCTAAAGAAATGATATTTGCATGAATCTGTTTTTTGAACATTTTGCTCTCATTTTTCCTTTAGGCTCGAATGGACTCAATAAACCGACCCTTCACTTCACTTGTACCGCCTTTATCTCCACAAACTAAAACAGCTACTCCATACACAGCATCACAGCCCTCCCCTCCCCTTCCACCTCCTCCGCCTCCCCCTCCTCCCCCGCCGCCTCCTCCACCCCCACCTCCTCCCCCTCTCCCTGGCCAGTCTGTGCCATCTGGAACTAGCTC